TTTAGTTCTGAGAACTTTGATTCAGACACAGATCTGCTCCTCCTCCTTCTCCTCCTCCTCCTCCTCCTGCTCCTCCTCCTCAGTAGTTTAGGCTCACTGCGGTTGCTTCATTTTAGTTCTGAGAACTTTGATTCAGACACATGTCTAGTTTAGTGTGTTTACGCTGCAGCCTCTGTGTGAGTGCTGACATGTTTCTCTTGTCCAGCATCAACTCGCTTCGCTCTAATTTGACCCGACTCAGTTCTGGACGGTCTCTGTAGGTGGTTCTGCCTCCAAGTGGGTCGTCTGAGTGGCCGCCTGCAGCTTACCGCCACAGAGTAAAAAAGAGAGAAATAAAGTGCCGCGGTTCCTAAAAACGCCGTGATCGAGTCGAGGCCACTGTCCCTCTGCCGGCCGGAGCTTTAAATCCGGTCCGTTTGGTCCGGTTCCGTCTGAATTCTGTCGTCAGACAACAAGCAGGGAAACATCTGGACCTCCACAAAGTACCATCGTCATTTAAAGGGAACTATTTTAAAACAGACGCTGCAGTTGATGCCTTTTAAAACGGCGGGTTTGATTCTCTGTGTCCTGCAGTCTGCTCGCTCAGAATCGGGTCGAAGAGGTTCTGGGGACCAAGCTGGAAGTGTTTGGGTCCACCGAGCCCCGAGCAGAGCCAAGAGGAGCCCTAGGAAGAGGTCACTTCAGGTCAGGCGCCTCCTTCACAGCTGCAGCTCCACCTCTTGTCTCTTCATTTTAGTCTGAATGTTAAGAACAAGAACAGTTCAGGACGTTAAGAACAAGAACAGTTCAGGACGTTAAGAACAAGAACAGTTCTGTAAATAACAAGAACAGTTATGTAAAGAACAAGAACAGTTCAGGACGTTAAGAACAAGAACAGTTCAGGACGTTAAGAACATGAAAAGTTCTGTAATCAACAAGAACAGTTATTTAAAGAACAAGAACAGTTCAGGACGTTAAGAACAAGAACAGTTCTGTAAACAACAAGAACAGTTATTTAAAGAACAAGAACAGTTCAAGACGTTAAGAACAAGAACAGTTCTGTAAAGAACAAGAATAGTTCTGGACATTAAGAACAAGAACAGTTCTGTGTGTTAAGAGCAAGAAAAGTTTTGTAAAGAACAAGAACAGTTCTGGGCTGTGAACAATTTGGCAGCACGGCAGCTCAGTGGTTAGCACTGTTGCCTCACAGCAAGAAGGTCCTGGGTTCAATCCCTGGTTGGACCTGAGGTCTTTCAGGGTGGAGTTTGCATGTTCTTCTCATCCTGCGTGGGTTTTCTCCGGGTACTCCAGTTTCCTCCCACAGACCAAAACCATGCATGTTAGACTGACTTCAGGTCCAGGCCTCCCTTGCAAAAGAATCTGTGATCTCAATGGGACTTGCCTGGTTAAATAAAGGTTAAATAAAGGTTAAATAAAGGTTAAATAAAGGTTAAATAAAGGTTAATAAATAATGAGAACAAATGGTTCTGGTCCGGGCCTGACCCAAACAAGCCCTCGTTGTAGCTGCCGTGTCTGGAGGGTCTTCTAAAAAATGCAGACTACAAATTTCCGTAGGTGTAAAAAATAATTGTACTAAGAGAGAAAATGTATTTTTAAATGTCCATAAAACATTTAGTTGATTTAAAAACAGAATTGTGAAGTTTAGTTGAGCTAAATGTCTTTAATCCGCTCTGCGAGTGTAGAAACGTTCCTGCGACGTTATTCTGACTGAATAAAATAAAAATAGAAGGATTTTTACTTTGTGTAGTTTTATTTTTTATCATGTTTACTGACTGCACCGACAATAAACAGATGAATAAAAACACTAAATTAAACGTGTGGCTGATTTTTCTCTAAAATAAAATACAAGAAGCCAAAATTTACGTTATAGATGTTTTTATTTTGGACGCCAGTAAAGTGTTTGTCCTGTAAGACGGTCGATTCTCCGCTCCGACCCTGAACTTATCGGACCTTCTGACCCGTTAATCAATCACAGCCATAGTTTTATCAATAAAGCTGATTTAGTTTGAAACGTGCTGCACTTTGATCTGATAAAGAATATCTAACCTGCTGAGGATACAGCTGTTATTAGCAGGTTTAATATTTTTAAACAACATATTTGTTTCTGGATCTGCAGCAGAGTTTTTGTTGTGCGGTTCTGACCCGTTTCCTGATCCTGTGAGCTCCTTAAGCAGGTTTAGTGAATTCTGCAGATTCCTGCTAACGTCTCGCTCCTTCGCTGACCTGCAGCAGGAGGGAGGAGCGAGGGGAGCCGCAGCGTGTGGCACAGCGCGGTGACGCCGGGGATCGGTTCACCGGACCGGCCTGCAGGAGACTTTAATCCTCAGGGTCCGGTCTGAGACTGCTCCAAGCTGCAGGTGAGTCCGTTTCTCTTCACGCTCAACGTAGAAACGAGTGTTTTTATGAAGTTGCTCCTCAGAGGAGCGACGTCGGTCACAACCGATCACTACGTCAGGTTTTATAGTTGCGTCTCGTTTCATCTGTCAGATTCATAACGTTTATTAACGGGTCCTGGTTTTATTTGTCTTTTTTAATGATCCAACGCTGCAGACTTTGGCTGTTTTAGTCCTTCATGCATCAAAATGTTCGGCTCGCTCCGGGTCAGCTGCTGTGACCTTTGGTTTATGAAACTTTTACAGTTCTCAAGTAGAAAACATGACGCGAGCTGCAACAAGACGAAAAGGATTCACAGATTCTACTTTTAGCTTTTAGCTTGCCTTTTGCTGCATTTACCACTTTTAAGTTCAGCTACTTTAGATTTAAGCTGCTTTTAGCTACCATTTAGCTGCTTTTAGTTTCTTGCTTGTGTTTAGTTTCTTTTAGCTTTTTTGTTAGCATTTTGCCGCTTACCTTCTAGCTACTGTTCTGCCAGTTTTACTTAGTTTCACATTTTTAGCTTCTAGCTTGTGCCGTTTCTTTTGGCTAGCAGTGTGCTACTTTTGACCTTTGTCTTCAGTTTCTTTTAGCTTTTAGCATGCATTTTGCTACTTTTATTCAGAGTTATGCTTCTTTTAGCTTGTGCTCTGTCATATTTTTATCTTTCGGCTAGTGTTTTGCTACTTTTACTTGGATTTATGCAACTTTTGTCTACCAGTTAGTTGGTTTTAGTTAAACTGGTTTTGTTTCTTTTAGCTTTTAGCATTTAGCTGCTTCTATTGTTTTGCCAGTTTTACCTGGAACTACACAGCTTGTTGATGCGTTTATATTTTAGCCTCAACAGCTGAATTAAAGCTTCTTCAGCAACTCTCAGCGGTCATTCTGATTGAAAGAAAACTTTTCCAGTTTTTGTTGCTCTTACTTTGAGTTTTTTTGTTTTGTCTGTTCTGCAGCGGGTCGGACCCAGACTCGTCAGTTCCAGAATAAAAGCACGAGCACGTTGACAAACATTAATCTGAAGCTTTCGATCTTTCATCTTCTGCTCAAATCATTTACTAACCAAACCTGATGCAGATTTTTCCAGTTGAAGCAGCGTTTCGTTCATCATCGTTACTTCCACAAGAATAAAAACTAAAGCTGAGCGTTTGTGCAGTTAAACCAGCCGTTTCATCACCACTCTAATCTAAATAATGTAAATAATTTCAGACAACTCTGAAGTCCAGTTCGCTTCGAGAGGTTCGTTTTGATCTCTTGCATCATAGATAAGAGCTTGAAAAAGATTTAAATTCGATATTATATCAGCAGAAAGAATCTTTAGTGTGACGAGAGGAAACGATCAGGGAGCTGCACCAGGTCTGTGAGGACACAGAGAACCTGGAAGTCAGACAACATCCATAGTGAGAATAAGGAGCAGGTGGAAGAGAGCCCGGAGAGCTGGAGGTCTGCTCCGGAGAGAAGTAGAACGAGAGGTCTAAGGAGATAAAGTATTGAAGATGAAAGATGACCGGAGGCCATCTTAGCACCAGCAAACTGTTTTTCCCCACTATGCAGTGTGCTGTTTGTAGGAATCAGTTTGTTTGGTGGCTCCTCAGATTGAAGAAGTCCTTTGGATGAAGGATGAAACATCTCAGCAAAAAAAATAAACCGTCCAGATGACC